AGAAAAAACCCGTCAATAAAGTTTTAGTAAAACCATTTAAAACAAAAAAAAAAAAAAAAGAAAAAAAAAAAAAAAAAAAAAAAAAAAAAATGTGAGAAGTGTGAAAACAGATTGCGTTCCCCAGCTCAGATAAAAGGTTTGGCAAATTTTTCTAATGTCTTCTTCTGGCTTTCCAAATAAATTTGCATAAATGAAGAATCCTTTTGTTTATGCACGTCCTCCTCCCGCCAGTATAGCTCATTACCTGCACCTCCTCCACACAACAGCTATATCATCTGTGTCAAGGGCATAATTTAAGATATGCTTTTTTTTTTTTTGTCTCTGGTGAATAATGCTGCAATTAGCAGTTACCTCCTAAGCAAAGTTAGTTAATATTTGTTTGTTGGATTTATTCAGCTAATTCCCTGACCAAACTGACCATTTGATGAGGAAACAGAAAAATCTTTCTGCTGCAGAAGCAGGTGCAAGAATTCAGTGTCCACACACTTTAGCTACTTACTTTGCAGTTTAATTCATTATTAAATACTAAATAAATTTTTAGTGCCACAACAGAATTTGAACAAGGCAATAGTAGATCAGAGCCTGAGCTCATGAATCCTATAAGATTTAGTAAACTCAGCATTGAATTTAAAATAATTCTCATGTTTCAGAAAGTCTTTGTTGTGTAATTTTAACAGCTTGATATATATAATATATATACTACATCATCTTTGACCTACATGAAACAACTTTATTTTTCACACCAATGTTTCCTGATAATTATGTAACGGTTCAGAAGAAATGCTTTGGCCTTTGAGTCTTATTGAGACCACGAAAAAGTCAATGTCAACCTTTCCGAAGCGGGTGTTGTGATGTAAGGTTATCAATCCACTCAGTGAAAGGAAATCTCATCTCTGGCACTCGGCACAATACATTCTGAAATCTCATAAATATTTTAGGAGTAACTGTCTTTCTTAATTCATCATGTTTCTATGTTTTGGTTTTTTTTTTTTTCAACGTAGAAACGTGATTGCATGTTCCAAATGAGGTTACTGAAAACACTTTTGAAAATAAGTACACCAAAGTGTGGAAAATATGTTTTTGTATGTTAAATGTTAAAACTTGGGTAAATGTTTACCTCCAGAGGTTTTACATGTTAATACACAATATAGATCTTAAAATGCCTGTTTTACTGTATTTCATGTTTCACATGTAAATCACTTGTAATCTAATGGGTTTCACAGGTAAATTTATATGTTCTTCACACATTAAACCTTCCAGCTATTCTAAAATCTTGTGTTTAATGTATGCAAAGCAAGTATAATCATGTTTCATATATCTCGTTCTATTAAGACATGAACATTTTCATGAGCTTTATCACATTTTCGCGTTTCAGTTTCCAATTATTTTGCACATGTACAGAATTACATTCATTTGTAATGACCTGTTGACACAGGTTCTGCACGTGTGAATTTCATGCATTTTTCCTGTAGGCTCCTCTGATTTGTGGCTGAATTTCTACCAGCTGTCCAGAAACGGCACATTTTCTTTGTTACGTTTTGCATTACAGCTCACTTTGTTCAGAATACACTAGCTGTCCCCAGAAACCCACAGTCGCTGCTCTGGTGATGGCACAAACCTCTTGGCTCACACAAATAGAAGCTCCAATTAATGAGTTGTGTGTGGGTGCATCAGTGAGCCTTTAAGGAGCAGGTCTGAAAATTTTTAATTTTTTTCTTTCAGAAATATTGGGAATATCTGTCATGACAGTCTCTTAAATATTTTTATTCTGTGGGTAAGTCTTTCACATTTTCCTACCCACAAATATATATATATATATATATATAATTATTATGTTTCTGTGCTGCCCCTTTTCAAAATAACACAAATGAGAATATTTCTGATAAGTATTCTGTTTTGAAGCAGATTTGATAACGTGGAGGTTCAGGTTTCGTTTGTGAACATAAAGTTCACGGTTGAAGGTCACAGTTCCTTTCTGGTTTCTATATGATGCCCTAACTCTGCTATCTTTCATTGCTCGAAGTTCGTCCTTTCTTAATTATACCTACTGTGAATGGCGTTAGGAAATGTGGTTGTGCTGACAGCACTGTCTCCAAAATGCCTAATTGGTTGAAAACATAACACTGTTCGCCCACATACTGTCACTGGACAACCTTACTAGAAACCACTGCATGCACCGAATGTGTATTCTGACATTTTTCCACACATTCTTGTCAGTGTGAGCGCTCTTATTTAAGCTGTGCCTGTCAGGGTAATTGGCTGGGATATTTTATGCAGTTTTATAAAATAGTAATGCACAAAACAGTAGCGTGAAGGATGAAATAATTCCATTTAAAAGGTGAGAAAACTGGAATGGCAAAATAGGCTAGGGAACTCAAAACATGACACACAAATTCTTGAAAGCGAATATCCACATCAAAATGTATTTTTTCTCTGCTGCATACCAGACCCTTGGAGAAACTATGATTATGTGTGATGACACGGGTCTCTTACCATAACAAAAATGTATGTACAAACATTTAACTATAAAACAAACTCATCAAGATGCTTACCCACAATCTGTGCCTGGCGACTTCTGCTTTATGACCACAATAATCATCTTCTCCATAATAAAAAAATGTTTTGCACTTCTTTCCCTTTTTTTCTTTCTTTTTTTTGAAGAGGGGAATGTCTGTAAATCTGGTTTGATATACCCCTATAGTGTAGGCAGTAATTATGGCGTTTGACTCTCACTGGTGCTGTCAGTGATAGCTGACAGTCTGTCTAGCTTGTGTTATGCTGGATGGTTTTAGAAACTGGAGAAAAAGAGGGGGAAAACTGACTCCAGAGAATCTGTGAAGCGAGAGGAAGAAAAGGCACTCGGCCCCACCTCATGACACGCGAGCACTGCACAGTATGCTCCCGCCTCTGGTGTATGCAAACTGTGAATGACGAATACATAGAAAGCCGTTTCATTTCTCACACAGGAGGCAAGTGCTTGCCAGGAAATATTTAGCAAGGGATTGTAAATCTTCCAGCACATTGATTTTGTTTCACTTTTAATGGAAAATATAGCTATAGGAGGAGAAATATTAAAACCTTTCACATTTTGGAAAAGTATTGTAATTTCTTCATTACCGCTTTCACATTTTTCACACCTACGTTGCACATCGATATCTCTTTGCTTTCTCTTTAGCTCAACAACATCGTCACGTCCTCAGATGCTGGGCCTTCGCAGCAGCTTGGAGATCAAAATGGCCAATAATCAGGCTTTGGCAATCGTCTTTCAGCTAGAGTACGTCTTCTCCGCTCCCATAGGCCGAGAGACTATGGTAAGAGAGACACACATGTATTATGGAGTGGGTTAATCCTAAATCCAGATCCTGCTTGGTATCTACCTCTTCTTGAAATGGGCCCCAGCTAGGAAGTTATCTTTATAGAAAACATCTTTACATGAATAAAAATGAGAGGAACAAAAGCTTTCAAACACTCAAGCATATTTTCCACAGTAATATGTGCAAAAAGATCTGCTCGGAGTTGAATTATCCCTTTTTCTCGTCTTGCTGTTTGTGCAGATAAGTTTTAAGGAGTTTGAATCCAAACACTTTCAGTGTATGGTTTCAGCGATGGCCCCCAAGGCACCATTTACCTCCGAGCTGCTATGATTGGAAGAGTAGACGACGTGCTGGTGTTCTATTATCAATCATTTATTGGTTTTATAGTCCAAGTTTAGATTTCTGAGTTATAAACCAGATTACAATATTTAGAGATGCAATTAGCATAATTTCAGATACAACTCTTGGGAGGGGGGGATTATTATTTTTAGATCATCTAGGTAAGTTCTGCTAAGAGCAGTCTGCTGGAAGCAGTGACTGAGCCTCCGGGCTTTCTGCAAGGACTACATCCCAATCACATCCACATTAAGCCAGGAGCAATCCAATTAGCCTATTATATTTATTATATCTTTTTGCACTGCAGCTGCTTTGCCAGGAGATCCTGTCTGGCTATAACCAGAAATATCTCAACAAGCAAGTGAAACAAACAGTCGTGCTTTTGAAAATATAGAAAAGGAATTGATAAACAAGAACTGCTCTAAGATCAGGTTGCTTGCAGATAGTGATTAGTATGCATAGTGCTCCACTTTAAAAAGGCCTCCAGCTAGGGCAGGCAGACGCACACCTCCATGTTGTGCATGAGAAACTAAAACTTTTACACTGTCAAATAGACTGACTTGACAAGAGAGGAAGAGGGGAAAAAGTGAGAACAGTGGCTCATTTTCTTGATTCCTTTTGACTAACCAAGGTGGTCATAGAGATTACAGTTTAGTCTTTTTTTAAGGCTCTCCATTAGTCCTTACTCTAGTAGAGTATTCTTCCTGTGGTTCACAATGCAAACATTACAATAAAATCAATATTAGAAATTGCAGAAAAAAATGCAACACAAAACATCCCTTATTGTATGTGTACTGTGACAGTAAATTCTTATTCCAATTTAAAACCAAATTATCCCAATTCTTCCCTGTTGACTATATTAAGTGAGAAGCTGAAATTTTATGGATACTCACTTTTTCTGCAGTATTAAATTAAGCTGGAGTTCTCTCATGTTTAGGTTTTCTGGTCATATGAGTTGAATAACCCGGTGATGGAGAGATCCACGCTGGCAACACGTCCTGGTAAAATAAGTAGATACTAAACAGTTGCTCCCAGCATTACAAAATACACAAAAAGACTGCGGTAATTATGTGTGTGGGTGAGCCCTCAACACTTTGCACATTCTGAGGCTAAGCTCCGACTATGTTACTGAGCACAGCCCCGTATACAATGAAGGGTCAATAGGACAGCAATTAACAGCAGCAGAAAAACAAGCAGTCACAATGTCACCTGGATGACATGGTACATCAGTATTAATATAATAACTAATGTCTTTTCTCACCATAGCAACCTGTTGACAGGCAGTTTTCTGTGTAGGTATGTATATCGTTGTTTGTTTCATAAAGTTTAAAATATTCTGTGACCCTGTTGACTCATAATGGATAATAATTAGACAAAGTGATGTAGTTGTACCGTCCAGCTTATTCTAGTCTGAGAAACATAATGCAGTAAGGAGTAATGACATTGGTAGGTTCTGTGAATATCGAGTCTATTCCTAAGAAGATCATTAGGAATGATGATCAAGTCAGAATTAAACACTGGTTCTCAGTTGGCTAAGGAGATAATTCTGGGTTTGAGGCTCGATGACTAGCGTTGGTTAAAGTAGAGAAGGACATAGATGTCGGCTCTAAAACTTACATCAGCCCGTCAATCAATGTTGAGAGATTTCACTCAAAAATGTTGCCGCTGGATATGAATCCAAAATGAGAAAATGACCAACCAACTCAAGTTATGGTGCCACAGGGTCCAAAACCTGTGACTGCACTGCTGGTTTTGAAATATCCTCTTCTGTTGCCAGCAGTGACTTTTATGATGCTCATTAGCTTTACTGTGGGTGTTCATGATCCCCATAGTTAAAACAAGCACAAACTAACATTTTAGGTTTTTATACTGACACTTCCGTTGCATCTAGCATTTCATTTTTTTTTTACATACAATCACTTAATACAAAATATATTTTATGCTTTTGCAGAAGGTTTTTTTTTCTACCATTTTTTTTAAATGTTCACCTAAGTTCAGAAATTCTAATAAACCTGTTGGATCAATCCAGTTGCTATCTAGATAATCTCAGAATAGCAACAGATCTCCACCCACTCTCTACTCCACCACATTCACCTTCTCTGCCATTAATTCCTGAATGTTTGATGAAGTGAAAGATATTTAAAAAAGTGCAGAATTCTCGTTGTCGTGTGGGTGTTTTTAGCGCATGCCGATACATCTGCATGCAAGTTGTCACGTATTTCTCCCGACGTCGGTTGTTAACCGATAAGGATTTTCTCTCGTGCTTCCTCCTAAAAGACAGAAACGCAGCTGCCGAACTTCATCTTGCAGTAAGACTCCCAATATGATAATATCAGCTGATGGCTACAGCTTTATGCTCTGTGACTTTGGCAGCCAAGAACAGCATGATGAGGCAGAGTACTTGTGCATGCACTGTCTCAGCTGTCAGAGATGCGACACTTCAAAAGTGTTGAAATGGTACTGAGTTAAGGTGTGCCTTCAGGGAAGTCAGCCGAGCTCTGCCAACTAGATTTCAGACCATTTGATGACAGCAAATATGGATGATCATGCTGGATAGTCGTCACAAACTTTACTAAGACTTTTTGAACATTTCCAAGACTTGGAGTTGTTCTCTCAGTTGGAAATCAAGCAGTGTATAAATGTTTTTTTTGTTTGTTTTTTCCTCTTTAGACACCTCAGTTACTGACTTACTTAAAACGTCATAAAAGTTGTTGATCAAGAGCACCAAGTAAAAAAAAGAAACACATTTGGTGTTATTTATGGATTTACGAACACTTAAAAAAGGTTTTTGCTAAGAACAGTTGAATAACCAATTATGGTTTTGATATTGCTTATAGAGATTCAATTAAATTTATGCTTCCAAAACAAAATGTAATCCAGGAGTCTTAATGTGTTTCTCTAATTGATGACTGGTGGAAAAGAGTTTTAGAGTAATGGAAAACACAGAATATTCTATAATTTACACTTGTCTGGGTCTTAGTTTTATGTTTGACATAATGCCTGATAACGTTTCCAGATTATTTGACATCTTCTGTGGTAGACTAGGGCTAATTTGTGTAATATGTCATCTATAACTCTGAGTGAACTAAGATAATGTGGAATCCCTCTATGTTAGAGGATGAACTTAATATTTAAAATCTTTATTATTATGTGAATAATAAAGCTTCGGTTACCAAAAATTTACTGATGATACACAATGTTTTATTTCTGTCTGTAATATCAGTAAGTCATTGTTTTCTTAAACTTGTGCAAAAAAAAAAAAAGACATAACTTTTGTCATCCTTTTTACAAACATTTTATGGTGGAACTAAGATGCCATTCAGTTGTTTCCATGTGTTTTGTGGTAACACCAATGCACCAAGAAGGGTTGAGATCATTCTGCCTCTGTTTCACCCCTCACTGTCCAAAAAAGTTAGTCGTATTCCTGCATTTGCAGACTTTTATAGGGGCAAGTCGGCTTCACAATTGGAGTGAGTGACATAGTGATGACGTGTCATCAGCCAGCAGCAAAATTTCAAGCAAAACAAGATTCAGACGTTAAACTGATGAGAGAACTAAGAAGGTAGATGTACAGTTTAAGTTTGAATCTCAGCCAACAATATGATTTCTTCAGCTATTGTTTCTGTTGTTGAGAAAGGATGCACTGGTGAACACGGTTGACACAGGTTTTCTTCTGACATTGATGCAGCACTACATTACCTGTTATTCTGTTCTGCCACGATTGGGCTTTTTTTTTTTTTTGTAAACCCTCGGCTGTGTGGAATAACACACGGCTTTGTCTAAGTAAAAATGGGAGCTCAGAAATGGCTTGTCGTTTGTAATTATTTGATGAAAATCTTTTGCAAAAGAGGCTTTTGTTTTTTTTTTGTTTTTTTTTTTTGGTCCCAAAAACCAAGATTAGAGATCAGTACTCCAGTAGACTTGGTGAAGCTGAAAGCTGGGCGATATGGCCGAAAGATAAAATCTCAGATTTTCTTTTTATACCAAATTTGATTTTTGATTTTAATCAATTTATTTTTTATTTGCCTCACTTTTTTCCTTAAAATACAAATGATGGAAAATGTCTTAAAACTTGCTTTTATTTTAATTCCTTCTGTGAGTTTACCTGGACTCAAAGTCAAAATAAATATAAGTTGTAACACTTGTTAAAAAAAATGGTAGTTCTTGCGTGGGCTAGTATCATGCTAAAGCTATTGGCCCAAATATAACATGTGCAACTGTTTGGATATTGATTATGCAATCAAAAGATGTAAACAACATCCATTAATAAACACTGTTTGAATGAAAATTCCAAGCATAGAATAACTCATATTATGCAGTTCCATTTTTTTTTCTGGGGCAAAACTATAACTGCGACAGAATTTTTGCCACAGCTGCAAAGTTTCTCCCTTCCTCATTGCATGCCTGTTCTTCAAAGAGATGTGCTGCTTGCAGGGCTGCTAAATCACGGTCATTCCACTCTAAAAGTTGACAGATGTGCTCCTGTGCTGCTCAAGATTAAACTCATGATTACCCTCCTCCACACCATACAGGTCTCTTATAGCAGACTCATGTCTGCTGGTCCACAGTGGTAGTTGAGATGTTTTTTGGAGTTTGTAGTGACATAAATCATGGGCCAACAAATGCAGTCTGCCGTCAATCAATACGAGGTTTGTACTACCCCCGAAGTGCGTATGAAAAACAGAGAAAACCATACAGAACTTTGTAATTGGTATGAATTCGGCAGGGCAAAATCGGTTAAAGCTGCTCTAGTGGAGAAGGACCAAAACTAAAAAAAAGAAAAGAAAAAAAGGAGCAGTATATTGTATTTTATGTTTTTGCTGCTGATCTCTGGAACCAACTGGAGATATGCAGAAACTGTTGCTGTTCCTTTAACTCAAGTGTGAAAACACTGCATTTACTACAGTTTCAGATTCAAAGACTATCAGTTCATTTTATTTTGCTTTTGCTGTTCATTTGTTGAAATCAGAATTTGAGTACTTTTTTCTATTCAT